AGCTCTACAGAAATAAATGTAGATATTTGGCTGAGTTTCTCATCTTGTTAGCATGTTCTTTATTTGAATTCAGGATTAGACAAATACTAAGTAATTGACTAAATAATAAAAATGTGTTTCCTATAACATTTTACTGTTTTAAAGCAGAGACACAAAAGTTACAAAGTGAGGGGTAACATGGAGACTTCTCTCCTACTTTCTCTCTTTTCCTCCAATAGACGATTGCACAGTGGCGGAAAGCTGGCTACCAAGACATGCCTGAATATGAAAACTTCAAGCATTTACTGCAAGCCCCATTGGACGATGCCCAGGAAATATTGCAGACTAGATTCCCAATGCCGCGTTATATTAACACTGAACATGGAGGCAGTCAGGTACGGCAAAGCCTTATCCAGGAGCACGTGTCTATTACTTTTGATTGAAGCAAGTTCATAGGTTTAGTAATAAGCTGATTCTGTAGACTAAATAACTTTGCAGTAATTCAACCCTCAAAGTGTACAGCCTATATATGTTTCCTTGTGAGCCCTTACCCTAATAGTCTGTTTTAAAAGCGTAGTTTAGAAATTGTTCATGGGACAGGCCTTTGAAATAAAAGGGTGCAAAAAAGAAAATGGTCAGATGACATACTGCATGGAGAATAAATGATAGTTACATATCAAAACGTATCTAGCTTAAGTAATACTTTCAGTGCAACTTTGTTTATGAGTCACGCTGGATTAGAAGCCTAGTCCTGGCATTCTCTCTTCCGAAGCCTATGGCAGCATTCATAACTAGCAACAAGTGGGAACACTTGTACCAACAAAAATTGGTATAGTCCATATGCCTCTGGTAATAAGAAGCTATTTAGCTTTATCTTCCTCTTATTCCCTTCTCTGCTTATCACACCCTCTATAAAAGCAGCATAACTGCCACATCAGTTAGCAGCTGTAACTGATGTCCAAAAATATTGGTCAAATGTTTAGCTATTACAGTGATCAAGAGATGAAAACCATTGCATCATGTGGTTACCATAGTGATATCCATAATAGATATTGCATTGGAACTTTAGTGGGACATCAGTTCAAGTTAAATGAGAAAAAAATATTCTCTAGACAAGGGCCTGAAAGCAAAGGCTAGCCAGACTGCTGTGGTGACCTGAGGTGTGGTGATAAGTCCTGAAGGAGTTGATGTTCTTTATTTTATTATTTTTGTAATATTTTGTTTGTTTTTTACAGGCCCGCTTCCTCTTGTCTAAAGTGAACCCCTCTCAGACTCACAATAACCTCTATGCGTGGGGACAGGTGAGTTATGGAGGAGTTACTGCTGTTGGAGGAAGGACAGAAGCATGCATATATAAGATACACATTTTTAAATTTATATTTTCCTTCCCCATTCTATTTGCTTTCTAATCACATAGCATTAGGCTATGAACAATGGCTTGCTTAGTTCCTGTGGGTTGCTTTAGACCTCTCATGCTTCTCCCCTGGCTAGCAACTTTCACAGACATTGATGCCTTGATGATTTGAAATTCTGTCATGTTTTGTGAGGGGAGAAAACATCTCCCTGTAACAATGGAGCTAAGAACGGAACTTCTGTGTGTTGGCTCTGATAGTCACAGTATTTAAAAACGGAGAAATGTACAACTCAATTCTGAGGAGCCAGATTTTCTTTATAACCTAGACATACATCGTGTGTTCATTACAGTAAATATCAACTGATTAGAATATACTAGCTAAACTAGATGAACAGGGAACAATTAGATGAACAAAAATAACTTGCACATTCAGGATAACATTTTCAAACCTGGATGTCTAATGTTAAGCTCCTAATTTTTTTTTAAAATTAAGATCCTAAATAAAGGTAACATGATAATTAGTGGGAACAGTAATCTGCTTGTTGGGTCCTGAGCACCTAAACAGCTTTTGCTGACTTCAGTGGGAGCTGCCAGAGCTCAGCAACTCTGAAAACCAAGCTACTTTGATTTAGGCTGCACTTCCAAAGTTTCAGGCAGTCAGGTTTGAAAATGTTGGCCACAATATCATCTTGATCTACCCTTCACTAACTGGTCTGATACCATTAGATCACAGCTGGTTTACATTAGTACTCTGGTACTATAGAGTAAAAATATTAATAATAAATGAATCAACCCACCAGGTATAAGTATACTGCATCTGAATATACAATGTGCTTGTTTTTGTGTCTGTTCATTCTTCCTCTACCTTTATGTTGTCTATGTAAACTTTCCAGGGCAGGGATACACAGGTTGCTTCTTGAATAATAAATATTTCACTCTGTATTCTTTTGGGAATCCACAATATGGAATGTTGTTGCTTTTGTTACCAAGCAGCTTCTTCCCAATATATCCTTATGCAATTGATTTAGCAGGCAATTAGGGTAGAGCACTGAAGCCTGACATCCTTTCAGAACAGTCCTAGTGGTAACTGTGTTTGCTTTGTTCTTAGTTATTTACTAATTTATTTTATATTATTGTAGGAATCAGGATCTCCAATCCTAACGGATGATGTTAGTCTCCAGGTGTTCATGGATCATCTGAAAAAGTTGGCAGTGTCAAGTGCATCATAACTTTGACTTAACAAGGAAGTGACCAAAAAAAAAAAAGCGAAGAATTACTGGGATCATGGTGACAATTAGTGTGGAAAAACGTACTACATTCCTTTCCCTCTTTGAGATCAAGGCTTTTAAATATTACACAAAATGAATATTCAAGGAGAGTTTTGTACTTAGTTCTTTTAGTTTTTAATTTATTTGTATTCCTTTTTTATGTGATCTCTCTGATCTTTATTTTTTTCATACATTGCAGCCCAAGGATGTTTTAGCTGATATAGGTATTAATACATTTTTAGATTAATTTTAATGGCCTGTGTGTAATATAATTAAAAAAACAGTAACTTGCCTTTCAGCAGCTTCATCAGGGGGACTATACTGATGAAAAATAAAAGTGGAGGAGAGCATTTAGTGCTGGACTGAACTTGTGTGTGTGTGTCTGTCTACGCTGAGAGGTTGACTTTATCACACAATAAAGTACACTATGAACTTGAACTTTTTCTTTGTTCTTGAAATCTTAGAATGCTTCATCTTGTTACTTCATTATGTTATGGCTCAGACCTGCTCTTGTATATAGGGTTATATTGATGAAAAACATAAGGACTCGATCTAAATTACCTTTATTAATTTCCAGCTCTGTTGATTTGCATTGACTTCACTAAATTGACTTGCATTGACTTGTAATTACAGGAATTTTAATATTGGCTTTGTTGAATGTAACACTTATTTTATATAGACCAAAAATAACATTTCTTGCCCATAATTGTCACAGAATTTGAGGGTTTTTTTCCAGACTTGTTAATACAACAAGATTTTCTGCATTTCATTTACCCTCTTCAAAACCACTGATATGAGCCAAGAATGAAGAATGTGTCTATAGCTAGATTTCACATCACAAGTGTGTTGCTAATGGTAAGATGCTTTATATAGCTCTGTGTGTAAAATCTAATTTTAACACATGCCACACCTTTGAAATGCAGTCTGCAGACCCCTACAATCCCTCCCCCACAGAGCCCAGCCCTGATGCCCCCCAGCCAATACACCCGCACCCCCTTCCCTCCCAGAGCCAAGCCACAGGGCCCTCCTGGCCCAGATACCCACACTCTCTTCCCCCCTGAACCTAGCTGTGCCCCTGGTTTTGCTGAGATACCCACATCCTTTTTGCCCCAGAACCCAGGGATTCAGAGGGATGCAGGGTTTGGGGGCAGGAGGGGGCTCTGAGCTGGGGCAGGGGGTTGGGGTGCAGGGTCTGGGAGGGAGTTGGGGGGCAGGAGGAGCTCTGAGCTGGGGCAGGAGGTTGGGGGGCAGGGTCTGGGAGGGAGTTTGGGGGCAGAAGGGGGGCTCCGAGCTAGGGCAGGGGGGCTGGATCTGGGAGGGAGTTTGGGGGCAGTAGGAGGCTCTGAGCTGGGGCAGGGGCGATGAGGCCAGGGTCTGGGAGGGAGTTTGGGGGCAGGAGGAGGCTCTGAGCCGGGGCAGGGGCTTGGGGGGCAGGGTCTGGGAGGGAGTTTGGGGGCAGGAGGGGGCTCTGAGCCGGGGCAGGAGGTTGGGGGGCAGGGTCTGGGAGGGAGTTTGGGGGCAGGAGGGGGCTCTGAGCCGGGGCAGGAGGTTGGGGGGCAGGGTCTGGGAGGGAGTTTGGGGGCAGGAGGGGGCTCTGAGCCGGGGCAGGGGCTTGGGGGCAGGGTCTGGGAGGGAGTTTGGGGGCAGGAGGGGGCTCTGAGCCGGGGCAGGGGCTTGGGGGGCAGGGTCTGGGAGGGAGTTTGGGGGCAGGAGGGGGCTCTGAGCCGGGGCAGGAGGTTGGGGGGCAGGGTCTGGGAGGGAGTTTGGGGGCAGGAGGGGGCTCTGAGCCGGGGCAGGAGGTTGGGGGGCAGGGTCTGGGAGGGAGTTTGGGGGCAGGAGGGGGCTCTGAGCCGGGGCAGGGGTGCGGGGCGGAGGCTCCGGCCGGGCGGCGCAGCGGGGCTCAGGCTGCCTGCCGTGGCCCCACGCTGCGCCCGGAGGCGGCCCGCCGCGGGCCTGTCCCTGCGGGGAGGGGGCAGCAGGTCTCCCTGCGCCCCCCTCGCTCGAACCGGCCCGTGGAGCCACCTGCCCCCCGCCCCGGGGGTTTAGTTTTGCGGGGCCCCGGGCGGCGGCCCCAAAGCCCCGGCCCCCACCGCGCACGGGAGCGGGGTCTCTGGGGGAGACCGGCCGCCCCGCCCCAGCCGCCGGGGCAGTGCGCCTGCGCGAGTCCGCGTTTGCTCCCGGAAAGACCCAGCCTCCCCATCACGCACTCTCGCAGCCTTGGCGTGAGGCCGCGCCCAGCGCAGGGGCCGCACCCGCTGGGTTCGCTGCACGCAGCCAATAGGAGCGGGCGTTGCTGGCCGCCGGCGCGGCGCGCAGCCAATAGGAGCGGGCGTTGCCGGCCGCCGGCGCGGCGCGCAGCCAATAGGAGCGGGCGTTGCCGGCCGCCGGCGCGGCGCGCAGCCAATAGGAGCGGGCGTTGCCGGCCGCCGGCGCGCGGGGGCCGGACGATGTTCTCGCAGCAGGCGTTGCGCTGGAAGGCGCGCTTTGCCGCCCTGTACGCCGTGGGCACCTGGAGCTTCCTGGGCTTCGTCTTCTTCTACTACTACTGGCGCGACCGCCCGGAGCAGCTGCCGCCCGGTACGGGCAGGGCCCGCCTGAGGCCTCGCACAGCCGGGCCCCGCCCCCGACCCCGCCGCGCCTGCCGGGGCCGGAGGTGTCTCTGGGTGTGCGGGGCTAGGCCCGCCCCCTGGGTGTGCGGGGGTTGATCCTGGGGGCCTTGGACGCAGCGTGGCGACCTTCCCCTGGCCCGTCCCTGTGCGTGGGGCTCGGTGCCGGGCGACTGACCCAGGGCGTCCCCCCCGGCGGGCGCGAAGGCCTCAGGGCGCTCCCTGTTTCGGGTGGCTGGCTTGTGTGTCCCCAGTTGAACGTCGGGGAGATCAGGGGAGGCTGGAAGTGCTGGCGTTCAGAAACGTGCAGAGCCCGTGCTCACATGGGTGGTGGGCCTCCAGTTTTGCACCCACATTTAATTGTGCTTGTGTGTAACGGTGCCTGCAACATGAGAGGGGTCCAGTGAAGGCTCAGTCAATATTTAGGCCCCTGTTCAGTTGGTGAGTTGCCCTTGACTTGTAACTTGAAGGTGATCTACAAAGGGCATAAGATGGAGGGAAGCTTGCACCCATATTTGCTGCTGGATGATATGTAAAGAAGTCTTGACAGTTTTGTTTCAAAAACGTTTCCTGTTTGCTACAAAAACTGACTAAAAATATAGTTCTTGCAGTATCTGGATACAACTGTGTTGGCAGCCATAAGCAGGGAAACAAAAGAGTGCTGAAGAATGACCCCCCCCCATTTTTTTTTAATTAGGTGAAGAGAAAACTCCTCCAAGGGAGACACCAGCAGATGTCTTTTTCACATCAACAATAACATATAAACAGAATGCTGTACATCCTACAGGTGGACTGCATGATTATGTGAAATCCGTCTTTGCAACCAGTGATGGCCCTGGTCCAGAAGAGTAACATCCTGGAAATTAGAAATTTGATACGTATAGAAGAGAAATGACTTTCATCACGATTGCTTGCTTGGACATGAAAAGTCTTTAGTTGAAGTGCAGGTTTCATTCTATTTCAATTTAAAAAAAACCACCCCCCCCTCACCCCCACGCAAACACACACACTCTCTCCTCCTCCCCCCACCCCAAAAACAAACCAACAAACCGCAGAATAATTTGCAAAGCCTAATAAACCTTTTCAACTCTGTTAAAGGCAGTGTTTTCCCAGAAACTCTTGGAGGGCTGAAATATTAAATAAATTACAAATGATTAAACTTCCTATAATTAAATCTATGTAGTTTGAAGTTTATTTTAATGATATTGCACACCATGTAGTGTCTACTAAATTAACATAATTGCCTCCACTAGAGCTTTAGCTTTGATCAGGTAATAAGAAATTGCACAGAGTCAGTTTAGGGATTGTGAATGTGAGCCAGTCTTGGACACCAACTGCTCTTCCAGTAAAGTGAATTATATTTTACTTTGTTGGATTTTGAGAGAGTCCTCATGTTATTTACTTCCATTCCCAAAAACAAAATTAAGTGACTCAAGTGTACACCACTCACTAGGAGTAACTCATCTGTTTCATCTCTTTTCCTAAAGGAGTGAAGTTAAAGGTGTAAATAGTGCCCAGTATTAACTGCACTCTCACCAACAGCTGTGTCCATTTTCATGACTCAACTGTTCTACCAGGTCACTTTCCTGAAGCAATTTTTATGTGTAAAGTTGCATTAGCAACAACTTTAAAAGTGTGGCTCCCATCTGAAGAGCACCTCGGTGAAAATGGCACTACTTTACTCCACAGATCAGTTCACTATGTGTATTCAGAGTCATCTCTGTGTGTATACAGAGTTACTGTACTGGTAAATGTATTTTATCTTAGCATTGCAGAGACAACAGATATGGGAGTCTGAGTTGGTCTGTTTTCTGGCTGGAACTTCAGCAAGAGAATTGTTAAGAAGCACTACTATAAAAATCAAAGTTATGCCTGAACATTTATTTATTACTGATATGTAACACTTGCCTGGCACTTGCCATATTCAAAGTACTGTGCAAACATTGACTAGCCTTCTTGTATTATAAGTAACATCTGAGATCGCTAACTGAAAAGAGTAGAGAAATACCTCTGTTTTCAGTTTGCTCATCTAGTGCTTTGACAGTTTTCCTTATGTTGCTCTTTCATACAGCAGTGGAGGAGAGATGCACACTATCTGCAAACATGGGGCAGGTGTACCTGAAGTTACTTAGGTTAGACTTAAAGTTGATCATGTCTTTTTACAAAGTACCATTTACAGAATCTTTACCAATGAGGTGTTTGCCATAATTATACACCTTCACTACCACTATATTACATCTCATCTGGGTTAGGGTTAGGGAAGATCAGTAAACTGGAAATAACATAGTTTGATTTTCAGAGCTCAGCAGGATTTTATAGTAGTAGCAGCTATGGAAGCAATTTTTTTTTAATTTATTAACTGAACACACATGATGTGGAAATCATGGAGCAGTAAATATGAAATGCTATCTTTAGAATAACTTTTCAGATTGGGAACACAGTAAAATCTTTAATCTCTTAAATCTTGATTGTTTTGCAGGACTTAAAAAATCTTAAAATTGTAATGGGTGGAGGGGAGGGAACATCATCTGGATTAATCACAAAACTAGAAAATTTTAAAAGGCAGGCGCTTAAGAGACGTTTGGTGCTTTCTCTGCTGGATTTATAGTATTAAGTAACTAATCAGTATTCCCAAATCCATGTTGACAGTAGTGATGTTAATCCACAAGTAATGCATTTTTATTACAGTTAGGCATTGTTTAAAGTGAAGTAGATTTAAAAAAACTACAAGAAAAGCCGTGAATTGAGCAGTATTTGAAAAACAAGACACAAAAATCAACTTTGTTTAGGAAAAGAAACTCCTGCTTGAGGTATTTCCAAGGACTTTAAAACAAAAAACAGCTAAGTGTGTACTACCTTCAGGATAGTCAAACTCCATAAAACAGAAGCTTTATATGTGACCATCGACAGCTGCTAGTATGTAGTGTAGGTAAGGGATAAGTCCATCAGTGGAGATATTTGCATTTACTTTGAAAGGAGTGTCTGCTTTTCTGTGAAATGGTGAATGAACAGCCAAAGAAAGCTTTTAGTAAGAGGGTGGAGGTGTAGTTTACTGAGTTAAAGAATCTTATTTTGCAACCAAAGGCAGATTTCCATAAACACATTTTAAATTGAAGTCTGTATTTTAAAAAGCATGTAGGCCTAGTCAGGGAGTAATTGTGGAGGGGAAATGGGTCTTTCTATTAAGCCTGCTAATCAAATGGATCATCTTTCTTTAAATTATAAATCAGGTCAAGTCTCTCTTCACTTTTTTTTTCTTTAAAATGAACACAATCAACTTGAAATCTAGTCATTTAAAAAAGAATTAGAGGTAGTTTCAGGTACACCACCTGACCCTGAATTCAGTTGTCAGTTTTTGCAGGGTGATATATTTTTTTCCTATTTGTACATGGTTTCTCCCTCTCCGTTAGCTGCCTGAAAAACCATGTGAACAAGGGAAACTGAACATAAGGACAGTCATACTGGGTCAGACCAAAGGTCCATCTAGCCCAGTATCCTGTCTTCCAACAGTGGCCAATGCCAGGTTCCCCAGAGGAAATGAACAGAACAGGTAATCATCAAGTGATCCATCTCCTGTTTCCCATTCCCAGTAGACAAAGTGCTATCAAAAGCACAAGACATTTTTCAGATAGAAGTGTGATGGCAAAGCTTTACCACAGCTTTCCCTCCAATTTTCTACCTCAGTTGTCATTGTCGTCTTACCGGATGTGGAGCTTGCCAAACCAATTTGCAGCAGACTCAGTGAAGGTTAGATATGACTTTCCCTTGAAGAAATTATTCCCCATCTTTTGATTACACACACTTCATTAGTTCAGTGCTATTTCCCAGGCCCTGCCCCTACCTACTCAATCTACCACCAAGAATTAATTAATTAATATTTCTAGCACCTCATACTTCCTCCCTTCTCAACACTTGGGACTCTTCAGAGTGACTCCCTTGCCTGTCAGTTGTTCCTTGCTTTAGTGGTGGTACCAGCACCAATTTTATGCAGTCTTTGGTTGGGTAGAAGATGGGTCCTTCTGGTGGTGGACTAGGTGGTCAGCTGGAGAATGAGTGTTCTTGGTTTTTAAGGTGGGGAGGTCTCTCCAGGAAGATGGGAGAGCAGGTTTCCTCCCGGGTGGTGGGAATGGCGTTAGTATGGAGCTGGGTAGGTACAGCAGGGAGGAAGCCAGGAGGCAGTAGTGAGAGGATTCCTACTTACTGTAGCAGCATCTTGATTCTGTCTCCATATGGTGCTATTAGAATGGGGTGAGGTGTGGGGCTTACAAGAACTATCTCGTGTCTCCCTAATACACACCTAGTGGCACTGGTGAGGAATGCAAGAAGGGACTTCCTCGGGCAGTAGTGACTGCTTTCTAGAGAGGGTTGACCACTAGCAAGCAGAGCTGGCCTTGGCCGTTTGGGTAGATCGTGAATAATTTTTTTATTGCTTTTCCTTTCCCAAATTTACCCAGATTCTGTGATTATCCCACTACTTTACACACGGCAGGTCTGCTGATCTGGGGTGGGTAGTAAAATTATTCTTTAGGATACTCTCCAATCATGACTAATTGGGTGGGTGGGTACTTTAGGTCCTTTAAACCTTACTTCTTTTCCTTAACATAGTGGGTTCATGTTTTCAAGGCTGACTTCTCATGGGAAAAACCATGTCTTTTGTTTAACAAAGCTGAGATTCAGCTTTACAGGGCCCAAGGATGGCTCAGTTAACGGTGGGCTTGAACTACGATGGCTTATGATAGGGTAGTCGTATTCTTTTTTGGCTAACATTTTGTATTCCAGAACCTGGCCAAAGTCAGAGAAGACCATCCCAATTTCTCAGAGGGCAGGTCCACTGTGGGGCTAGGTGGCACACTTCGTATCACCCTTAAAAGTTCACTGCTGTGCTGAACTTGAAAAGGCTCACCACCTCAATGCCTTCTCCTCTGTCTTTAAAACCACCCTTAGCATATACTGTCAAGTGGGTAAGCTAAAGGCCACGGGGAAGTGGCGACAAAATGACTCTTAGGAATTTTGTGCTGAAAGTGGCCATTTCTGTGGCAACAGAATAGCGGCTTGCACGGAGCGCTGTTTAACGTGGTCACTTGAGTGGTGGTAACATAAATGTGAGGAAAACCAATCACAAAGCTAAAACCAGGACCTCTTGCCTGCATAGATTTCCCTGACATTAGAAACAGCCAGGATGTGTAGCAGCCTTTCTGCTGACTGTCAGCATCAGCGCCTGCCGGCTTGGGTGCAAGACCGGCTTGGTAGCCCTGAAGAAGATCCTCTGCCCACCCTTGTACCTGAGCAAACATCCTGATTTTCATTTTCAAGGAAGACAGTAGTATTTCCCACTCCCACAGGGAGTGTCCCCCATTCTCTCTAGGGGCCTTCCCCCCATTTCCCACTCCTTTGGGGAGAGTCCCCCATTCTCTCCATGGGGTCTGCTCTGATTCCTCCCCTATCTGGCCTGTCCCCTTCTATCCCTCTGTCTATAGGGGCTGCTGCACCCCACCCGGGACTGTCCCTCCCCTATGGGAATGCCCCCCGTTCTCTCCAGAGGGGCGGTCCCGTTCCCCTCCCTGCACCAGGGGCAGAGCTCAGCCCGACCCCCTGCGGGCGCCCCCCCCGACGGCTCCCGGCCGGGAGGCTGCAGTGCCCGCCGGGGCCTGGAGGGGGCGGCCGCGGCCGCTGATTCCCGGATCCCGGCGCTGTCCGCGCCGCCGCCGCCGCCGATCCCCGGCCGGGCCTGGCTGCGCCACCGCGGCACCATGAAGGCGATAATCCAGCGGGTCACCCAGGCCAGCGTGACAGGTCAGCGCCGGGCCCGGCCTCCGGGCATCACCCCTCTGCCCCCCGGCCCTCGGGGACCTCCCCCGGACCCCCTTCCCCCGTCCTTTCTGCCCCCCCGGATCCCCCCCCCGTCCTCGCCCTGTACCCAGACCCCCCCTTCCTCCCCCCCGGATCCCCCTCCCCCTGCACCCCGGACCCCCCCGTCCTTCCTTCCCCCCAGACCCCCCCGTCCTTCCCCTGCACCCCGGAGCCCCCTCCCCCTGTACCCCAGACCCCCCCTTCCTCCCCCCCGGATCCCCCTCCCCCTGCACCCCGGACCCCCCCGTCCTTCCTTCCCCCCCAGACCCCCCCCCGTCCTTCCCCTGCACCCCGGACCCCCCTCCCCCTGTACCCCAGACCCCCCCTTCCTTCCCCCCCGGATCCCCCTCCCCCTGCACCCCGGACCCCCCCCGTCCTTCCTACCCCCCAGACCCCCCCCGTCCTTCCCCTGCACCCCGGACCCCCCCTTCCTTCCCCCCAATCCCCCTCCCCCTGCATCCCGGACCCCCCCGTCCTTCCTACCCCCCAGACCCCCCCGTCCTTCCCCTGCACCCCGGACCCCCCCCTTCCTTCCCCCCGACCCCCCTGTCCTTCCCCTGCACCCCGGACCCCCCCCGTCCTTCCTACCCCCCAGACCCCCCCCGTCCTTCCCCTGCACCCCGGACCCCCCCTTCCTTCCCCCCAATCCCCCTCCCCCTGCATCCCGGACCCCCCGTCCTTCCTACCCCCCGGGCCCCCCTCCCCCTGCACCCCGGACCTCCCCGCCCTTCCTACCCCCCAGACCCCCCGTCCTTCCCCTGCAACCCGGACCCCCCCTTCCTTCCCCCCGGATCCCCCTCCCCCCTGCACCCCGGACCCCCCGTCCTTCCTTCCCCCGCCGGGCCCCCCTCCCCCGTCCTTCCCCTGCACCCCAGACCCCCCCTTCCTCCCCCCCGGATCCCCCTCCCCCTCCCCCTGCACCCCGGACCCCCCGTCCTTCCTTCCCCCCAGACCCCCCGGACCCCCTCCCCCTGTACCCCAGACCCCCCCTTCCTTCCCCCCCGGATCCCCCTCCCCCTGCACCCCGGACCCCCCCGTCCTTCCTACCCCCCAGACCCCCCCGTCCTTCCCCTGCACCCCGGACCCCCCCCTTCCTTCCCCCCCAATCCCCCTCCCCCTGCATCCCAGACCCCCCCCGTCCTTCCTACCCCCCCGAGCCCCCCTCCCCCGTCCTTCCTCCCCCTGGACCCCCCTCCCCCTGCACCCCGGACCTCCCCGCCCTTCCTACCCCCCAGACCCCCCCGTCCTTCCCCTGCACCCCGGACCCCCCCTTCCTTCCCCCCCAGATCCCCCTCCCCCTGCACCCCGGACCCCCCGTCCTTCCTTCCCCCGCCGGGCACCCCCTCCCCCGTCCTTCCCCTGCACCCCAGACCCCCCCTTCCTCCCCCCCGGATCCCCCTCCCCCTGCACCCCGGACCCCCCGTCCTTCCTTCCCCCCAGACCCCCCCCGTCCTTCCTCCCCCCGGACCCCCCTCCCCCCTGTACCCCAGACCCCCCCTTCCTTCCCCCCCGGATCCCCCTCCCCCTGCACCCCGGACCCCCCCCTTCCTTCCCCCCCAATCCCCCTCCCCCTGCATCCCGGACCCCCGCGTCCTTCCTACCCCCCGGGCCCCCCTCCCCCATCCTTCCTCCCCCCGGACCCCCCTCCCCCTGCACCCCGGACCTCCCCACCCTTCCTACCCCCCAGACCCCCCCGTCCTTCCTCTGCACCCCGGACCCCCCTTCCTTCCCCCCCCGATCCCCCTCCCCCTGCACCCCGGACCCCCCCGTCCTTCCTACCCCCCCTGGACCCCCCTCCCCGTCCTTCCTCCCCCCGGATCCCCCTCCCCCTGCACCCCGGACCTCCCCCGCCCTTCCTACCCCCCGGGCCCCCCCTCCCCCGTCCTTCCTTCCCCCCCCGGATCCCCCCTGTTCTTCCCCTGCACCCCGGACACCCCCTTCCTTCCTCCCCCCCGGATCCCCCTCCCCCTGCACCCCGGACCCCCCGTCCTTCCTTCCCCCCGACCTTCCCTTGCACCCCCCTCCCCCTGTCCTTCCTCCCCCCGACCCCCCTCTCCTGTCCTTCCCTTGCACCCCCTCCCCCTCTGTCCTTCCTCCCCCCCCCGGATGCTCTCCCCTGTCCTTCCCTTGCACCCCTTCCCCCTGTCCTCCCCCCCGCCCCCTGTTCTTCCTCCCCTGGACCCTTCTCCCCCGTCCTTCCCCTTGTACCCCATCATTCTCCTGCATCCCCCTCCCTTTGCACCCCCTGCCGTTCCCCCTCCTTCCCCTGCACCCCCAGCCCTTCCCCCCTCCCCTTGCACCCCCGACACCTGCACCCCTGGCCTTCTTTCTCCCCCTGCATGTCCTGTCCTTATCTCTCCCCTTGCACCCTGCCCTCCCCAGGTGTCCTTCCCACCCTCCACAGCACCCTCACTCCTGGCACCTTGTGTCCTTCCCACCCCTGCATCCGCTTTTCCACCCACATGCTGCCTCTGGCCCCCACCTTTCTATGCATCCACTGACCTTCCCATCCACATACCTGCAAATGCTGCCCCTGCACTCCCACACACTGTTCCATCCCTGCACCCACCCACACTCCCCAGTACCCACCTATCCATGCACCCAGTGTTCCTCCTGCCCCTTCACCCACCGTCCTACCCTCTCCCACTGTCCTTCTCACCCACATACCCATTCCCACATTCCCTGTACCCACCATTCATCCCACCTACTGGCCCCCTCCGCCCACGTACCCACATCCCACCCTCCCACTCCCCTTATGCGTCTACAATCCATGCCACCCAACTGTTCTCCCCACCCATTCTCTTTTACTAAACCTTGAGTAAACCACTATGAAGCTTTCCCAGAAGAGCCCCATCACCTTGTGCTGAGTAAAAGCTTTCATTCAAAATCTCCTTCAAGATTAAAAACAAAACAAAACAAAAGCCCTTCTAAATGTTAGTGCTGCCTTCCCGAGCCTGCAGCCAGCCCCAGTGCCTCTGCTGCTGCTCAGTGCTTTGCTGAGTTGTGCCACAAAGAGAACAGACCAGGGCCCCCTTCGTTCTCTCTGCTGATGTTTAGGACCTTTGGACAGCCACGGAGCTCACAGCACTAAAGTGAAAACCATTGTGTTGCAGTTGGGTAATCTCAGAGCAGCTGTGGGAGCAGGCATTATAGCTATTCACTGGGGAGAAGGACTCAAAGACAAGGATGAGTAGTGGAGAGAGCACTGGACAGGGACTTGTGAGTCCTGGGTTCTATTCCTAGCTCTGCCCCTGGGTTGCTGGGTGACCCTGGGCAAGTTATTTCACTTCTACATGCCTCAGTTTTTCCATCTGTAAAACGGAGATAATGATTTGTAACTCCTGTGTATAGTGCTTTGAGATCTACTGATGAAAAGCGTTATATATATAATCATTATTCTCCCATTGCTACATTCGGCTACGCTTGCTGTTTGGGAGCCTCCCAATTAAGTTCAAATTTTGTCATTGGTGTAGATGGTTAAAAGGCCCCTTTCAGAGAAGGAACTGATTGATGTGTACTTCCAGCATGCCTGCTACATTTGATTTGACTTGACCTGCTCATAACCTATCTCTTTCAGTTTGCATAGTCCAGAGGTCAGGTTGTCTGTCTGTCTGTCTTCTATTTGGTGGAACTCCCTCTGCAAATTAATTATTTTCTGTTTACTTTCAGTCTTAGTTGTTCAACACACTTCTGTCTTTTGTGTCTTTACTGTTATTCACTGATACAAGGGAATATTGCTGCATAAATCAATTATAATAACATGACTGTAATTGCATGTTGGATTAACTGCTGACTGTTATTGATGGTAGTAGGGCTTTGCTGATCTGCACCTGGCTAAGAGGTTGCAGCTATCTCTTCTGGATGCAGACCTCACTACTGTGATCCATGCCTTTATCACTTTTTGTTCTGTGTTTGTACAGCACCTATGACAGCAGGGCAGTGGTACATGACTAGGGATCCTAGATGCTCCCTCAGGACAGATAACAATAATAGTGCAATACATTCAATTTGGGGCTCCCCTTAAATCCACCTGGAAACTGAAGCAGACCGTCAATACAGCAGCCCACTTATTAATCGGAGTATCTTACGTTGAGCATGGCACCAGTGCTCTGCGATCCACGCTGACGACGTGCTGATTTGTGGATGGGATTTAAAGTGTTGGCTTTGACCCATAAAGCCCTAAGTGGCTTGGGACATGCCTGTCTGAGGGAAATATAGTTGAGATAAGCCGAGGTGCTTTACTGGTGACCTCTCAGTATCAATCAGAGATGGCTGGGGACAAGATAGTCTCCATGAAGACCCTTCAACTCTATAATTTGCTCCTTCCAAACCCTCATTGGAAATTGTCCAAATCTGTTGACCCCTCAGGTGTGCTACGCAGCCAATCACTTGTTGTAGGGTTTTGAGCGAGGGCATGCTGGAGGGTGGGTAAGGTTCTGTTCACGGCTTTGACTCTCCTCTTTCATGGCAGTTTATATTCTGTTTTGTGGGTTTCCGCTGGCTTTTTTCTTGTTCGTACAGGTATGGTTGTGTTTTTTAACAAATATTAAAATGTGCTTATCTCAGTGGGATTTTTTTAGATGTTGTATAAATCTAAATAAAATAATCCTAGCCATGGCCATGGGTTCTCATTAAAATCACTTTTTATCTCTTTCAGCATATTACAGTGGGCCTAGAGGGACGTATTTTGTTTTAGATTTCATGAAACTGATGTTTGTTTTCATGTGGTTGGATAGAATTGGCCCATTTATACCAAGATCCGTTTTCGTAGACAGATTCGAAGGCCAGAAGGGACCGTTGTGGTCATCTCCTCTGACTTGCTGCATAACAAGGTCACAGGGTGTCCCTGTGTTCATTCCTGCTTTGAGTTCAATAGCTGTGTTAGAGCATTACGTTTAGAAAAACACTCAGAAAGCTCGACATGTTAACATGACTGGGATATGAACCCATGCCTCCAGGGGAAACTGCAGTCTCCCCATAGCCTGCTTAGCCAACCTGAGAGCTGTAGAGAACATAGGTCTACTTGGTCTCAGCTTAGGGCCTTAGCCACTGCATCATAATGTGTGTCTCTTTGCAAATCTTGAAAAAACAAAATATTGAATGCAACTTATTTTTTGCAGGGTACCAAAAAAAAGTACCAAAAAAAAATCAATCTTTAAAAAATGTTAATTTTTTTAGGGACTTCTGCAATGCAGAAATCAAATGAGTTTATTGATTTCATACAGTTGGGTAAATTTTCAAAGAATTATTTCACGTTCTTAACCAAGTGATTCGTATTGACTCTAATGAGAATTGCAGTACTAAAACTCTTCATGCAATGTTTTGAAATGCTGGAGCAAGCATATTGAGCTGCCAGATCGCCTCTTCATTTAGCAAATCAATTTCACGAGAGGCAAGGGGCTGATATTTTGTAACTCACAAAAAAACCCCAAGGGTGCCACTACATATTGCCTTTCAAGGGATGCTAGAAATGTAAACATAGGGAGTAAACATTTGGAATGCTGGTATGGCATGTGTACATGTTCTGATTTTTCTTACAGCATTGCAAGATGCTAAAATTACTTGTAAGGTAATTCTCCTTTCACAGAAATGACTTTCAGTCCTCTCTGTAAAATTGAATTGGTGTACCTGAGCCAACATGCTGTGGACAGCTAGTTAATTCTTTAAGTTCAAGTGACGTTTCCAGAAAGTGTTTATTGTACCATTGCCTGTTGGAATTGATGCTTGGAGGTGGCATAAAACCAGATAGGGTGTTTAATTTCTCTCTCTTTTTGTTGTTGTCCTGCAGTGGGTGGGGAACAAATAAGTTCCATTGGACGAGGCATCTGTGTGTTGCTGGGTATTTCTTTGGAAGATACGCACAAAGAGCTGGAACACATGTAAGTCATGACATGCATTGAATGTTTCCTTGTAATTCCTGTTCATTCATATGCTACTCACTCCATATCAGTAATATCAGAACTATCTTCAGAAAGTAGGGCCTCTTGCTGTAGGAAAATGTGAGCTTCTCTATGTTCTTTTTTTTATGTTACACTTTGTGTGTGGGCCTCCTAGTTATAGTTTAGCTTCATTTTATGCAGCACTGTGGAAAAGTCTCCCCAAAATAAATAAACCAACCACTACATGTTTTTCCCAGAAAATAACCTCCCATTGTTTTTTTTTTCTGGGCGTTTTTTCTGGGTGTTTTAAAAATTTCTATCTGTGTCACTATAAACTGTTTACATTAACATAGAACATATTTGAAAGGTTTTGTGATACTAGAAATCTTAGGATCTCTTTTCAATCTGCACATGAAAACTTTAGCGCTTCTGAAAAGTTAAAAGGGACGTGAGGGGACCATCAAGGTTTTTGTTAAGTCGACAAGACAGAGTAAGAAAACTAAAGACATGTCTAGAGAGGGAAGGGGAATGAAATAGCTGGAGTGATTAGTGATTGGTGATTAGAGAGAAGAGTGGAGAATGGGTGAATCAATTGTAATTAGATGCTGAAGAGAGACGGTGCGTGGAGTGTGAACTGTACCGGGGCTTGACTTGTTAGAATCCAAACTTCTTAGAAGATGGGCAAGAAATTTGAAAATGTGCTTCTGTGTAAAGCTGGGCTATCTTATCTCACTTTTCCGATCTTCACAGTGTGTTCGATTCACTGAGTCACTGTATCTCATACTTGCTTTAGTACCTGTGAAAGCTGGTGATCAATACTGCACATAGGTGATTAGAATGTAGAGATACCCAAACTCCAAGGGATTAATTTATCTGACTCAACATATATGAAGTTGAATAAAGAGTCAGGAAATAAACAATTGAATGGACTGAGCTATTGAAGAGAGAGAATTATTCTTAAATAAAATATAAACATGGTCCAGAATTGCTAAGGAGAAAAAATGACACACTGGTTTAACCAGTTTCTTCAAGTGCCATTGAATGAAACTTTCTCTGTTGCTCCTGCAAATGAGACAATTTCAATGCTGTCATCATCTGCAAAGTGCAGCAGTGATGATGATGATTTAAGTCCCTGCCGCAGGCCTGCAGCCTTTAATCAGCAGCTCGATTCAGGAGCAGTTTCTGTTTCTTTGACACCCAGAGATTCTTGAACATCAATATATGACTGTGCCATAAAAACAGCTGAAAGGCAAAGACTTAGCTTGATGATAAGTGCATTCCAAGTTTAGGCTAATAACATCCTCTTCAATGTGGAACAAAATGATCAATTTAAAGTGATGACTGTAGTGTTTTTCCCTGGATGTACTCCTCCAGACAAACTTAAACTCGCAGGACTCATTACTAGGTGCTGCAAGTGATGAAACAGAGGAAAAGTTAAAGGAAGAACTTAAAAGAATCAAGATGGATGGGAATGGACTATTATTATTGATTGAACACTAGAAGTGAACCAACAATGCATATATATAGAGGGAGCAATTGCATCTCTGCGTACGACTATTGTTGGGCCCAGTTTATAGTTGCCCTGTGGCCCATTTGTGTGCCCAGTCTAGGCAGTTGGTTCTGTTTTCTAAATCAGTTTTAACCCCTCAAATAAATAATTGTCCTCCCCAGTCAATTAATTCTCATTCAAATTATTTAGCCCCAAATTGCCAGTTTGACTCCCCAAATAATTTTGCCCTCCCCTAACTCCACTGCCCCTGTTTCTGCTGCTTTCATGGACTCTGAGCCTTCCAGCTTACCCGCTCCTCTCTCCCTGCTCCCTTCCTGTGCAAAGCACAGTACTCCCTGCTCCCTTCCTTCCTCCTTGCTTTGTTAGCGAAGCCCTGACTCCAGATGACTTGTTGTCCTCCCAGGGACACACTGCGCCTGTGCAAGGGGACAGAGCTCACATTGTGTGTGGCCGTTTCCTGACTTTTGAGATCTTCCTTTTCTAATCTAAATTTTCTTGTAATAAGTCTAATTTCTCCACGCAGTGAGAGGATCATAGTCCTCAATGCCTGTTTACATCTTAAACCAGACAGTCCTGTTTTGATTTAGCCAGTGAAAGGCAAGCTTTCAGAATTTGGGGTTTTCTCGTGGTACTCTCTGGCCTGTTGTTGTTTTATTCCCATCCCAATCCCACATTCTCTAGCAGGATGTTTAAGAGAAGGCTTTTATACAAATAGTGTGATGAGTTTGTAAGGGCTTTCATGCCTATGGCTCTGTATGTGTGATATTGATAAGATCCCCCTTTTTTAGGGGAAGGGATGAATGAATGGCTTGTAACTTTGCCATTTGTGATCAAATACCTGTACAGATATATTATAATATATATCTTGATACCTGTGCGCCATTCACATCTGTTAACCTTACACATGATGATTAGGAACGAGCCGAGGTCATGCAAGTAGCCTTCTTTGTTCTGTTTCTCCTCACAGGGTTCGCAAGATTTTAAACTTGCGTGTGTTTGAAGACGAAAGCGGGAAACACTGGTCTAAAAGCGTGATGGATAAACAGTATGAGGTGCTTTGTGTCAGCCAGTTTACTCTGCAGTGCATCCTGAAAGGAAACAAACCAGACTATCACATGGCTATGCCTGCAGAGCAAGCAGAGTCTTTCTACAACAACTTCCTAGAACAACTTAAAAAAGCCTACAAACCAGAGCTTATTAAAGGTAAGGTAGACCCGATATGTTTGAAAAAGGGGTACTTTAAAAATGTTGTGGGTGACTTTTGTCTTTCCCATTTAGGGTAGAACTGAGTCCTTTCTGGGGTTTAAGCTCCAGTCTTTAATGTCCCCAGCAAAAGCTGCTTACATAGACAGCTCCCTAAGAGTTGCCATCTTCTCTTTGCCACTTCGTAACGTTGATGCTTTGCTCCATAGACGATGCCTCAGTCTTTCTTCCCAGTTGTGGCCATGCTACTACCCCAGACAGCTAGACCAAACCAGAATCTTCTCTCCTCAATGTTTTTCTACTAGTTGCACTTAAAAGTGAATGGGGTAGTGAACATTATGACTTTCACTTTTTACTCCTTCATTTCCCACCATGTCACATGTTGATGATGGTAATAGGATATGCTATATGTTGCTGATACTAGGATATTATCTAGTCAGTCTGTTCTCTGCTCCATTCATAGTTACTAAACAGCAGTCTTCTCTTGGCTAAAGGAAACATGGTGGATGCCATTCTTCCTTGCTCTCAGGCCTCTGTTCATCTTTTCTCTCTGCTTCCTATGGTCCTCTCCTAATTTGTGTTGAATTTTTAGTATAACTGTATAGCAAACAAGTGTATACAGCAAGAACATTGGTGTTAATTTTGCTATCGCTAATAGGGTAGATTGAAGTATAAAAATATAACTCGTATTGTACAGGTCTGCTTCATCCTGCTTAAGAGGAAAGCAGAAAAGTAAGGAGAAGAATGGTAGATAGGGAAAGGTTTAAGGGTTAATCTCCTGATTGACAGTATATGAACCATAATTATCCCAGATACCTGTGTATCGTATGGACTTTCAAAAGAGATTGTGTCTGCTAGTGATGAAATCCATTCCTAAAATGTCAGTCTCGTGTCAGCTTTCCAGTGTCTTAGTATAATATTTTTTTGCAGTTAATATGCTGATAATGATCTAAGTAATGTTGTTCTGATAGACGCTTCAGTTTTGACACATAATATAGGAAACCTAAATCTGATGAAATCACAGCGTTCTTGCGTCCTGAAATTTTAAACTCTAGCTTTCAGACTGCTTCTTATCCACCATCGTTAAAGCCTACATCACATATTTCTTTTTATGTGTATGTCAAGTTATTACTAAGTAAGGGGCCTGTTTTTGTGCTCACTGAAGGCAGTAACAAAACTTCCCTGGAAGTCAACGAGACCAGAATTTGGTCCAGTACTGACTTTGCTTGGTTGAATCCTCATCTCTCAGTGAAATTAAACTGAAAACCATAGGTGTGTTTTCCCCCAAAGAATGAAATATAGAAGGTTTGGCATATCTAGCTTTGTTTTCTGGCTTTGTGGAATATTCTGTTTCATTGGTTCTGAACTCTCATACCACAGCGCTTCACTTTGAGGCTTCTTATATTTTGACAGCAATCTTTTAAATGCTCTCTCTTTCTCTCCCCCCTGTCCCCAAGTAACATAATAGTTGTGCACTTGAAATAAAATAGTAATCACCACTGCCTCTTGAATGTCTGCTTTTACTTTAAAAATAGCTTTGATTTCTGCTCTGTCTTGCTGCAATTGTATGTTTAAAAATGCACACTGTCTGTAATAGTGTTGTGTGATGGGTCGGGAATTGCTGTCCTCACTACTGTGCCAGGTAATACACATTTCAAACTAGCTCAGTTAAAAGAACCATCTACTAATTTATACTTTCTGGAGGCTGTTCCAGTCTGTGTCCTATTGAGTCTAATTCTGCTGATGGATATTAAAATCTCCTCCAGCAATTTGTGGCTTACAGAGTGCTATGCCTTTGCCAGAATATTTGAAACTTTCTGAAGTTTGTAAACAGTCTGTGTGCTGCCCCAGCTCTGTGCAGACAGCCGGCATCACAGACATTGAGTGAACCACCCAATGACCAAAAGATCCGTTAAGGTACGAAGGCACCAGGCCAGGTTTATTGTCAACAAAGCACAGTAATAGCACCTGGCAGACTCTACGAGGATACTAAGACACGTATGCTTGTAACTACGGACGTAGCTCAGTGAATGGTGGGACTTTCCATTCCCCCCTTGGCTGGACAAAGATACTCCCTCTGAGATACATCTTTATACCCTGATACAAACAAATTATGTGCTGCCTCTGACATAGTTATTGCCTCCAGACATGGCTAATTATCACCCACCACCTTGTACATGTTGGTTCGATCGAAACATTTCTATTACGTACTGTCATCCTGACCTTACCTTTTAGGAGGTCAGTGTGTTCCTGTTATCCTTGGGGAATGTTTTTGTACCATCCTCGATATTGGGATGTTTTGGTACCACTTGATATCGGGGTATGTTTGCGTGAGTGCTCTGTCCTTAGCACTTCTTAGGAATGTGTATTTCTGCAATATTAGCCCTGTTTTTGCTAGATTCTGTGAGCAGGTCCTGTCTCATGCCAGGCCTCTGATGCAAGGGCTTATTCTCAGGCTCTCTTCCTAGTACACCCGGTAGTTTGGCTGATGGCAGTCGCAAACTGTAATAATCTTGCTGAGCTGGAGCACTGTAGCTAACGGAGCTTTCATATTCAGTGAAGAGATACACCAGTGGGGCTTGTGGAGCTCACCAGACCTTTGGCAAAGTTGTAATAACCAGTCTAGGACGTGATGGACCATTCAAATATCCTGACATCTGTACTGAAAACTTCCAAAAGTCAGCAGCCTACATTGCCAGAAATTATTCTGTGCATTAGATTTTATGAGGGATAATGGGAGGAATGGTCTACTGGCCAGAGAACTAGTCGGGGACCCAGGTTCAGTTCCTCGAATATATTATGGAAATGAGGGCCAGGGGAGGAGATAATTATCTAAGACTATGTCTACACTACCCAATTAACCCATGTGATTGGAATCCAGGTTAGCCTAGCCCAGATATGAGCGTGCCGACTGCAAAGCAATGCTTGAGTTACTGTGGCCTCACTATTTCTGCACTTCTCCCGTCTGGGAGCATAGCCTATGGTTCTTTGAGAAGCTCTAAGATTCTTTTTCAGCTGTTTGTGTCAATTCCAAGAGAACATGTCTGTCCTTTGGGAGGGAGAGAATTGTGGGAAGGGTATTGGAGGACTATTAGCACTTGAATGATTTAGCCTGAAGGTTACAGCCAAAGTCAAACTGGAACCCAGGCTCTAGCCCACATCCCCAGCTGAGCCAGCAAACCTGGGCTTAAAACACCTCCAAACCCAGGTCAGAGGTCTTTGTGTGGACAGTAGGGGAGTTAAGGCCAAAACCTGGATGAGAGCTTGGGTTTAATTGCGCAGTGCAGACATATCCTTAGATAGATTTATGAATAAAACAAATATGAAGTTTCTAGGCCATGCTGTCTGAGAGATGTGTCCAAAGAATATTCTAAAAGCAAATTACTTCTATTTTTAAAGTCTCATATCTCAGAAATGTCTTGTTTGTTTCACCTTAAATACAGAAAAGAAAAAAAAATTCTGTGGCCCTGGAGGTACCACACATAGAAACCTCTAAAGGAAAAGGATTTTAAAAAATTAAGAGGGTGATGATGTAAGCAAAAATGAACTTGTGATTTTAATTAAATTTTTACACATAGAGTAATGCCTATAAGCGTATTGTATCAAAGAGAAAGTTGAAAGGTATTTTGGTCAATTGATAAGTGCATAGGCAGGGAGAAGGTATTTGATGAGAGGGCTCCTAAATCTAATAGATATAGGCATACCAAAATCCAATGGCTGGAAGTTGACGTAAAAATATTCAAAAAGAAATAGATGTGTATTTGTTACAGGAAAGGAAATTAACCATTGGAGTAGCTTGCCAAGGGATGTTGTACACTCTGCATGACTTGGAGTCTGCAAATCGAGACTGGCTGTTTTTCTAAAACAGTGTTTCCCAAACTAGGGACGCCGCTTGTTCAGGGAAAGCCCCTGGTGGGCCAGGCCGGTTTGTTTACCTGCCGTGTCTGCAGGTTCGGCCGATCGTGGCTCCCCCCGGCCGTGGTTCGCCGCTGCAGGCCAATGGGAGCTGTGGGAAGCGGCGCGAGCCGAGAGACGTACTGGCCGCCACTTTCCACAGCCCCCATTGGCCGGGCACAGTGAACCGCGGCCGGTGGGAGCCGTGATCGACTGAACCTGCGGACGCGGCAGGTAAACAAACCGCCTGGGCCTGCCAGGGACTTTCCCTGCACAAGCGGCGTCCCTAGTTTGGGAAACACTGCCCTAAAACATTCACGAGCTCAGCTACAAATTTTCATGTTTGATGCAGGAATCACTGGATGTGGCCTGTGTTACGTAGGAGGTCAGATTAGATGGTCATCATGGTTCCGTCTGGACTAAAAATCTTGTTACCTCGTCAGCTATCTCAACAGGCAGACCTGAGAGCACAAGGGAAGCTAGGCACTGCCTTCACAACTCCCGCTTCCTTCATTCCTGGTGCAGCCCCAAAGTGCTAAGGTGGGTTATGCTGACTCTGAGCAGACAAGCTAGTTTTCTCCCTCTAGCTGTGGCCACTCCACAGCTATCCTTTCCCAAGCCCTGGTCAGGATTATTACCCAGCAATCCCTTGGTGCTTCACAACACTTCAGAAGACCGAGGGAACTGCCTCCCCCTAGAAAGGCCTTGTCCAAGAAATAGTACCTAGATGGTCTTGTCTCCATGTCTTCTATGGACAATACAGGAAGTCCACCAAAAATATAAAAGAAATCCAGGAAGCATCGCAGGGATTTGGACTCTTCCACAGAATCTTATGCTTCCTTCCCTTGTCAAAGGAAGAAAGGAATAATCAGAACTCAAAAAGTCATATGCAGGGTCAGAGAACAGTCTGTTCTCTGTTGTCTAGCTTGGCACTGTGTCCAGGTGTGTTGGTACCGTGTTATGCCAACAGCTAGGCAAGATGGAGAGAGGTACTGCTGTCAGGCAAGTATTTTTCCCTCCTGCAGTTAGGTGGGGCCAGGCTTGCCTCTCAACTCATGCCTTCAGGAATCATTACATCTGAATGAGAAGCGCCCGCTAAGAGAGGA